ATGAGGATAATTGATAAGACACACCTGAACATAATGACACAATTAGACAAGGACGGAAACTCGGTCACACTAAGCACATGGGGAAGGAAACACAACAAACAGTCCATGGGGGTGTGACATCATTCATGTTACCTAATGTACTGCCTAATATTAACAAATTCAAACTTTTTCAAGTGTTAATGATTATTTAATATAAACAATGTTTTTTATTGACTTTAATTTAAAAGTGCTTATTTTTTCATTGTGATTATTGCTATTTAAGATATATCAGAATATTGTGAAAATGTATTGATTCAATGGTTGTGACAGGCCAGTAGCTGCTTTGAAATCCCAGTTCGCCCCTAAGACACTTGGCAAAGCCAGTCAAACGACTATAGGGTATACATGACCCTGGACAGTAAGCATAACACTATGTTTATAACAAAAGATCTCCGGCAGCTAGCTAGAAGTATTAAGAATATCTTCCAATATATAATCTTCAAATGATCAAGACAACCTTCAAATGACCCATGCAACTATACAACCTTTAAATGAAAGAATTATGCAATCTTCCTAAAGTCTAAAAATGAAATCGAATTCTTTCAGTTGGATGTGGTTTGACTATAAATTGAGTCCATAACTCCAATGAGCAAAGCATCTGTGACTGAACAAGTGACAGACTGTGTGCAGGCCAATGGTTTTATCTAAATTATAGTTTGAGTCACGTCACTCATTCTCATTTCAGATGACAGCCCACGATGATAGAGGATCTGCAATTCCTTGAATCACTGTCGCCTCAGTGCTCATATTGCTGGCCCACATCCAGGCTCATGATAGAAGTTGATAGTGGAGAGGAGGGGCGTGACGACGGAACACTGCTGCCAGTGCATGATGAGATGTGCTGATGTTAATTGTGTCCTGTCATTGCTGCTATAAATCCTGCATCACATCTCTCCTTTGTGGAGACTTGCATGCACCAGGTGTCCTTGAGGTCCAGGTAAGGCATGACTCTAACATAATGACTTAAAATAAAGCTGTCTTTTTAAAGGGGTCATATGATGCAATTTCAAGTTTTCCTTTCTCTTTGGAGTGTTACAAGCTGTTCATGCATAGATAAGATCCCTAAAGTTGCAAAGACTAAAGTCTCAAACCCAAAGAGATATTCTTTATAAAAGTTAAGACTCGTCCACGCCCTCCTAAAAAGCCTCATTTAAACATGCCCCACATGTCTACATCACGCCCAAACGTTTACGCAAAGAAAGAAGGCATAACTTTTATTCTTGCTGTAGTATTTAAAGTGGGGCAGTTCCAACTTTGCAAGGACAGTCTGGCGCTTCTGACTCACAGCCTGTAAGTACGTTTTCATATTTAAAGAATGTGCCACTGATGATCCAAACACGAGTTTTGGGCAGTGTAGATTAGCGCTTGTTGTTTGTCGTTTCTCCGATCACAAATGCAGACATGGTTTTATGTTTACGCGGCGCGATACGCAACGTAACGCGTAAATAGACAGTATTCTTTATATTACAGTATTCTGTATTTTATAGTATTCTTAAGTCATTATAATCAGTAATTATGTCCCCACTGGACGCAACAAATTTTTTTTAACCTTAAACCGCATAAACACATTTCATTACACCAAATACACAAAATAATGTTCTTTTTAGCAACGTCATATGAGCCCTTTAAATAAGTACTTAGCTAAACTACAGACTACTAAAAAAGCAATGAAGGGGGATACACTGTTATATACACTATCGTTCACTAAAGTTTTTTAAAGGCGTCGAGTTAATGTTTTTGAAAGAAGTCTCCTATGCTCACCATGTCTGCATTTATTTCATCAAAAATATAATAAAACAATAATATTATGTCATTGCTATAGTCTTCAGTGTCGCATGATTCTTCAGATATCATTCTAATATGCTGATTTGGTGCTCATATTATTATCAATGTTGAATACAGTCGTGCTGCTTAATATTCTTGATATAGAATTCTTTGATGAATAGAAAGTTCAAATAAACAGCATTAATTTGGAATGGAAATCTTTTATGACCTTTTAAATGTCTTCACTGTCAATGTAATGCATCCTTGCCAAATAAAAGTATTTATTTATTTTAAATACATCTTACTGACCCCAAACTTTATTATTTCAATTAGAGCAGTATTGATCTGGTGCGAAAACAAAACAAACAAAAAACAAGAACAGAACAAAACCAAAACCAAAACAAACTAAACCAAAAGAAAACAAAACAAAACAAAACAAAACAAAACAAAAAGCTATAGTAATCTCAATATGGGTGACAGTATTAAAATTGAAATGATAATTTTGTATTAAATACAACCAATACAACTAAAAAACACACCAAAATCTATAACTCGGTAACTCAGTTGAAAACAGTGATGAATAACAAGGTTTACCTAAATATTGTGTTAAAAAAACAAACAAACAAACAAAAAAACTTATGAGAACTTTAGTACAGGGCCTCAAATAAATCAGTGATTTAGTTTAGTGAAACAGTTTGTTAAGATAAAATGTTAGCTACCGTAAAAAAAAGAACCGCCTAATTTATACAAACTGGTTCACAAAAAGTGAACCACTTGTTTTATATTAACCAAATTAATCAGTTTGCTAAACTTTAACGTGCAGTTCAGATTTCCCACCACTACATGAGAGAAAGAACCATTTAAGAGAGCATATAAAAAAAGATCAATGTGCAAACTATGTGATATTAAAAAAGCGGAATGTAGCAATGTCACCAAAAATAGCTTAAATGAAATAGCTACACTGGTTTGAAAACAGCTTAGCTACTATCAAGCTATCAAGTTGTGTCTCTACTTTTAGTTAGCTACTCCGCAGCACTGCTCCGTGAACAGTTTTGGTACCATTCAAATTTATATTTTTATAAACAGGTCACCACTAATCCCAATGCGGCTTCACTGCTCGTCACACCAGACAGACATTTTTCATCAATAATGTAGACACACACACACTCTCTCTCTGCCTCAATTTAAATTCCTTGTGCTTTGCATTATATCTAGAGGGGAAAGTCTTGAGTGTATGAGAAGACAAACAGGCAGTGAGAGAAAGACATTCACAAACAAATATAAGCACTCTCTTTTGCATGGCAGGAAGAACTGAGCTGAGAGGCTGACATCTCTAAGCTTCACTATCTGCACTAAGCTCCAGAGCCAAGTACATAACACACTAATATGCCAGAGAAAGTCAAAATGCTAAAGCACCACACCCAGGGCCTTAGAACCATCTGACTCAGCCTCAGCCCTTCAGCTGTATTTGTGTATGTTATATATTACAAGCATTACGAATACAAACTGTCACCACCCATTCTGCAGTTTAGTAGTAATGCTTTAAACATCTCAAGCGCCTTTCTTTTATATTTCATTTTCATTTTTTTTTATTAAGCGCAAATCTAAAGGCTGCCTTATCCCCGCTCTGGGCAGTGCCGCAGTTAAAGTAAGAAATGGAAAAATATATTTCTAACTGCTGTGGCCCAATAAAACCGTCAGAGCCAAAGCTAATCTGCATTAATATATCACTCTTCAATATTTCAGTCTTGTAAAATAATAAAAGAGAGAAAGAGAGAGGAAATGAGAAAGGATTTAGCACTTTAACTTAAAAACGCTTTCATAAGACCTCATATTACCCATAAGAAACTCTCACACTTCTGAACTATGCGTATTCAGCTTTGCGGTAAAAACGAATGAAGAAATTCAGTCTAATGACAATAGCAGGTAGCTTCCCCGCGGAGCTATTCTGATCCAGGATTCACTTTAAGCGACTCTTATATAATAAGACCATTTAAGCAGAAATTGACCTATAGCCTATAATTGGCGCACTGTGGGATCCGCTGGTGCTCTTTTCTGTAGAAAATCAATGGCTCAATTCACCCAGATTTAACCATTAACTAAAACTTAACTATCTTGACCAGACCGCTAAAAGTGCCCCCACATTAGTGTTGTGTAACCGGAAATGTTGCCTGGCATTTAATGCGCATCTCATTCCCTCTTCTCTGCACAATTTCTAGTCAATGACAAACTGTTAATATAAACAAAAGAAAAATGAATCAGTGAATTATTTCATCAGACAAAAACTTCTGCTTGATGTACATGATTGATACACAAAACATGAACATTCCAAATGCCCAAATGAACTGACTCACAAAAATGAAATAACTGAAATAAAAAAAAATAAAAAAAACATGAATCCCAAAGCTGCCTCCAAAAACATTAGAGTTGTGCATCGCCATAACTGAGGCCGATGCGATACACATCTCAATGCATAACCAACGATACGATACATTAAAGATAGATATGAAGCAGATACGTATGCAATGTGATTCACCCCCATTACGATGCAGTGCGATGCGATTTCGATTCGATTCAACAAATACATTACATACTTTACAGCATGTTTCACGGCAGTTTCAAAGTGAAATGTCCAGAGAGTGGCGCTAAAACGTTTTTAATACAGAAGTATCAGTTTTCAAATCACGCAGGATGTTAAAATTGTTTTGAAGTCATAACATAATATTCTGCAAACAATTGTGTGAAAATTAGCCATTATAAAACAAAACTCTGTTCCTCTAAATCATACTTTGTGTGGAAAGGAATAAAAGTTGTTGGAGTTTTACTGCCTCTAGTGTTCATTTCAACTGGAAACTGCAGTGATTCGTACATATACAGTAGGTACGTTTTTCCAGTTTTGCAGAAATGTAAATAGAGGCACGTATTTCCAATGAGCCTACGTTGCAACAACTATACATTGTGATACAAATGCCAACTTGTATCCGATGCACACTTTTTAAATCAATGCATTGCATCGTTAACTTTTATGCCGATGCACCGATGCTTACCATCCCTAATAAACATGATATCAAAATGTGTGAAAAGGCCCAAAATAAAATAGGAAATGATCTGATCTGCCATATGGAGCAGTTTCTGTGCCTCCTGTGATTTCAGACCTGCATGAAGAGTTAATGGGAAAATAAATGAAGTACACTTACCCAGAACTCCCAGCCTATAGTTCATGGTGACTACAATGACGTTCCCATATGCTGCAAGCACACTGGCGTCAAACATGTTTCCGGTTCCTTCCATGTAAGAGCCTCCGTGAATGAACAGCATGACTGGTTTCTTCCTGCGGTCACGGATGTCTAAAAAAAAAGTCAAAATGAGGGGAAAGAGAGTGTTGTGTAAGTGAGAGCTACAAAAAGATTAAATGATGAGTCACTTTGTGAAACTACACATTTTATTTTTTATTTTTTTATCTGAGGGTGATGGTTGGATCCTTTGAGTGTAAATAGCTAGTCGTTAGGTCACTTTAGACACCAATGAGCTCTTACTCCTCAAGATATAACAACACATACACGCACTCACACAGCGAGACAGATGCAGAGGCAGCTGCAATGGAGCGTCGCTATAGTAACTGCCTCATTTTGATTTCCCCATCTACCCAACAGAGGCCATTCCATCAATGTGACTCGCTCCCATTGACTGTTGCCATGGAGATCTATTACACAGACACACATACTTTCACTTTTCTAACCCCTTGACACCTTCAATCACCACCTGAATCTCAGTCGATTTCATTAAAGCAGATAACTGATAAAGTCAGACGCTCCAAGATGCAGCAGGAGCGAACACACACACAAACACAAATGTATCCAAAGCGTTACTAGAGTAGAGCATCAAACAGATGGTCAGTCAAGAAGGATTACTGACTTATTCATCCATAAAACACACACAGACATGTGCTGTCATACATGACTGGACAGGCAAGCAAATGCTTCGACAATGGCATCCGTCAACTATTTGGGTTCCAATAATGACAGAATATTCTTGGGTGAACTATCCCTTTAAGACAAAGGAATAATAAAATAAAATAAAATAAAATTTTAAATTAAATTAATTGAAGATATTTTGATTTTGTTGCTCATAGAATTTTGGTAGTTGGAAAAAAGTTAAACGGACTGAAAAATAGATCTATCTATCTTAGTGTTGGGCTGATAGACGATGCCATCGTCCATCGCCGATGGCTGATAGATATCACAATGTTGAGCCGACATCGTGATTCCCCCCTCCCCCCTGCAATCCGCCGCGTCCCAATACCGTGTTCGGAAAGCAAATTAATTTTAAGTACTGTAATATAACAGGCAACCGTTAGCAAACGTTATTTGTTTTCCATGAGACTTATGCAATAGAGCAGAAAGAATGTTAGTGTTTTTTAGGTTTGGAGATCAGTTAAGGTTATTACTCATAAACCAATTTATCTGCCAGGTTTATTTATTTTGTTATCTATCTATCTATCTATCTATCTATCTATCTATCCTGTCTGTCTGTCTGTGATTTGCATGGTAATGTACATGACAATGTTAATGTATTTGGTAGAGATGAACCGATTGCAATTTTCTTGGCCGATTCTAATTTCCGATTTTTTGGAAGTGTGATCTGCCGATACCGATTTTTGCCGATTCCGATTTTCTTTCTAAGAACTATAATTGACAGCATATGCAAACAAAAATCTATGCAAATTTCAATGCAAAAATTCTTTACATAATAAAAGAAATTATTAAACATTACAATACCCCCAATCTGGACTAAGTTAGACTAAGACAGATTTCTCTCACTTAAACAATTCTCAAAATAAAGTGCTCAGTGACTGGAAAGAGGAAGAAATAGTTAACTTAAAATTAGTTGTTGTATGTAACAAAACAGATGTCATTTCCCACTGTTTATAAATGGTCATTTTTTTCCCCTAACCTTATTAAATGCGTCATCTTTCACATCAAATTCTTACTTTGTTTCAATTCATTACAATGATACTTTTAAATATGACTAAACCACCAGTAGGTGGCGGCAAATGTCTGTTTTAATGAATGAGTCATTTATTCATTCATTCAACCGATTCATTCAAACCATACCTGTCAACCCTCCCGTTTTTCTCGGGATTCTCACGTATTTTACCATTCTATCCCGCAATCATCCCATTTAAATATTTTCCCGTATTTCTCTCGTATTTTTAATCCTTCTATAAAAAAAAATCCCACTGGGTGTATTTTATATGTTTGCTACATTCGCTTCCGGTAAAACTCCCCGTAATTTGTATGGGCCAAACCTCATTATATGAATAATCACGTCAACAAATT